TGATTCTATTAAGACCATATCACCCAATAAAAGTCAGCACATTGGGCTGTGTGAAAACTTAGACAATAGACTTTATGATCAGAATTAGGTCCAGTAGTAGAAAGTAGTGATTACTTGACAGTTCTGTTTCAGCCAATAAATGCCATGTAACCATGCCATGTGGCATCATGATAATCCCGATTAGCTGTTGGAGCCACAAGAACGTAGCCTCAAACCCTTCACTAGTGATTATACTGAGCTTTGACATCCAAATATCTGAAAGTTAATTTGATATTCTCTGAAAAAAATTGTCACTGGCAAAACATCTACTTTGATATAAAAAAAATATATTTGTGATTTGTGAAGATCCTTATTGGCAGCAGAATGACATTGTTACAGCATTTACTGTACCAGCAGGGCCTAATTGGACCATGCTAACCGGCCAGACCATGACACCTCTGGCAGACAACCAGAAGTTTCCCCATCCAGGAACGCAGCCCATCCCAAAATGATTATTATATAAAAAAGATAAATGTACAGTTATAAACAGCTTTACAGTAAGAGTGCCAGAGACAAAGATGTTCTGCTTTGGAATTTCCGGCTTAAAGTGTACTTTAAACATATTTCCTGTTCATTTATACATGGTAATTGACACCTTGCCACAGATGCGTTCCATAGTGATTAGGTCGAAAATAACTGATCCATCTATTTCTGCATGTGTCTTTGAATGCTGTCCATGAGAGCAGGTCAAATTAGCATGAGTGAAAGTCCATTTATATTGCTTCTCTGAACTCTGACTATTCTGGAGGACGGATACAGTATCTGAGAACTAAATGTATCCCATTGTTCGATAGCATGTAGAAAAGCTCCTCTTTCTTTGGTTAATGGATCCTAAAAAGCCTCCATGCATCGTATCTCCATGTTTATACTGTCAGTAGCCCCATCCCTTCAAGAACGACTCTTTAAGACATGACCAATGACTGAACCCAGTGACCGATGAAAGATTGCTTACATTAGTGCGAGTGAGAGAGTGGATGAGATAGAAAGAACAATGAAAAAATAGATAGAGATATTTATATGGAGAACAAGGGGACATTCTGGCACAACTCCATCTCACAACTGTAAGCTTTAAGTGCCATTAAAAGCTTATGACATGCCTGTGCATTACTCAAGGGTGACTGGGGGTCATTTTAAACAATGCTGGCCATTTATATTTTGATTATGAAAATCCACAGCCAAATCCTGAGCTACATGATGGTCTAAAACAATTTGTGTGGCTTGGTAGTTGTGTGGCTGTTTTTTTATGCTAGTCACATGTAGCCAGTTGGTCCAAGTCTGGTTCATTTATCAGCTTATTCTGGACAATAAAGACAGTTTAGACAGGAAGAGATAATGTGACTGGCATGTACAATTACCAACCACTAATGGGTTATATGAAATAGATAAATATTTACTAGCTACTAAATGGCTCAAATGAAACTTGATTGAAATTTAAAAACCACAAACCTCATCAAATCCAATTATTAGACTGTTAAAAACCTCCCACTTTCAGACTTCCAGAAACTGTGTTGCAGTCGGGCAATCTGATTGGAGCTTGCCATATTCACTAGTGCTGTCCAGCTTTATTTTGCAATATGCATTAGACGGCTGAGATTAATTTTGCTTCTCTTTTTTCAAGTGGTGTACCTCAGGTGTATGTACTGAGCCCCCTCACATTATCCATTCTTCACTGCATTTTATCTCCTGAGATGAATCCGGCACACACAGAAGACACAGCAGCTGAAAGATGTCTCCAACAGTCTCAAATGCCTCTTTACACCATTCCTCTGACAGATGAACACACGTTTTCCTCATGCTGTGTGGTCTTTGTGGTTTGGGAGACCGGCCTGCACAGCTAATATTCGTCTTTCATTTGCAACACACAGATCACAGGCGCTGTTTAATACATCACAGGAGGCTCTTAGATCACTTTACATGCCTGACAATATGTTAATTTGTCCGTTCACAACTCATGATACTGTAATTCGAGCAGCATCGCAAGTTCTTTGTTCCGTCTGAACAAACGCAAATGCATGCAATTCTTGTAAAGGGGTTTTGGTTGTTGAACATTTGTTTTTTGCAGTCATTGATAGAAACTTAAGCAATGCTTGAAACTTTGACACGTCTAACATGAACACACTCTTTATGTGTAACGTTTTCTCTTGTTCTTCCTGTGGGCATAATTTCACGTTGATTGAATGAACCCGTGTAGATATGGTTGAATTGGGTTATGTATACATGGGGAACATTTGGACACCTGGACTCATTTTGCTTGACTACAGAGCTTGTCCTTTTCTTCCAAGTGTGTGCTCACCTGACAAACAAATGCTGAATGCCAAAGTCTGTTTTTCATTACACGCAGACAGAAATTCTAGATCTTCTACATTTAGTTATTTATGCATGTATTTATTCCCTTCATTTTCAGTGTTTGTACAGATCTGTTTAATGCCACCTACTAAAGAAGGCAAGTCACAGGGGTCTTTTATTTTTGTTACTGTAAGTGAGAAATGGTATATTATTCACAAAACACAACTTTAGACATACTTTTTTTTTTAAGACTTTTGTTGTATAATAAGTAATTTGTCACACTTTAGTTTGGGGACCAATTCACACTTTTAATGAACTATTAACTACGACTTCTGCCTCAATAAACTCCTCATTTGAATAAGGGATTAATATGTGCTTAATAATATGTTAATAAGTACTAATAAACATCCAACATGTTAATAATATGCATGCTAATAATGGTGTTTTATAGACCCACAGTTGAATTGCAAAATTGCAAATATCAATAAAAATATACATATTTTTAAGAATCTCGAGGCTGCTTTAAGATAGCAATGTGAATTTCTACCAAAATCCCAGGTTAGTTCCCTGACCACACTTGTAATTAGATTCATTAATGTCAGGGGTCACTACACCTGAACTCTCTTACACGCTGTGAATGACTGAAGCTCTGTAACAGCCCAGATCTCTGAAGCAGTACCACTGTTGAACAGCAGGACTTTGAGTTTTGCTCCAGGCTCGCTTGGTAAATGCCAACTCCAGTACAGCAACGCATGGCTGCTCTTCAATCACGTACTCTTCTTACTATGGGCACTCTGTGTGTTTAGACACATGTATATGTGGGCTCTACAGTGCATATTTATGGCCAAATGTGGGTTTCCTTATGTGTTATGTATGTGTCACTTCAACAAAACTGTGTTTGTTTCACAGCAGATAGCATTAGACTTCCATAAATCAGATCTCAACAGCTGTTGAACTGTGTAATTACTGTATGATGTGGTTCTGAATTTGAGTCCCTTGGTATGAGTTTGTAAACAAGTATATACTATACTTTTTTAGTAAACATTTTCAGTAGCTGAGAGGAAAGCCACTATAAAATCAGATATATAGTACACATATTATGTTATACATGATAAAATAAATGTTTTAATGATATAAAATGCAATACAAATCTCAAAATTGTAAAATATTGACAATTTATTGACCTGGTCAGTCTATTACTGTTATTTTTGCAGTATGCAGCACACAGTATGCATATTTTAGTATGCAAAGGGATATCCATTGACCTACCATAATTGCTAAATGTGCACTATATAACAAAGTCAGCCCAGATCTCTGAAGCAGTACCACTGTTGAACAGCAGGACTTTGAGTTTTGCTCCAGGCTCGCTTGGTAAATGCCAACTCCAGTACAGCAACGCATGGCTGCTCTTCAATCACGTACTCTTCTTACTATGGGCACTCTGTGTGTTTAGACACATGCTCTACAGTGCATATTTATGGCCAAATGTGGGTTTCCTTATGTGTTATGTATGTGTCACTTCAACAAAACTGTGTTTGTTTCACAGCAGATAGCATTAGACTTCCATAAATCAGATCTCAACAGCTGTTGAACTGTGTAATTACTGTATGATGTGGTTCTGAATTTGAGTCCCTTGGTATGAGTTAGTAAACAAGTATATACTATACTTTTTTAGTAAACATTTTCAGTGGCTGAGAGGAAAGCCACTATAAAATCAGATATATAGTACACATATTATGTTATACATGATATAATAAATTTTTTAATGATATAAAATGCAATACAAATCTCAAAATTGTAAAATATTGACAATTTATTGACCTGGTCAGTCTATTACTGTTATTTTTGCAGTATGCAGCACACAGTATGCATATTTTAGTATGCACGGGATATCCATTGACCTACCATAATTGCTAAATGTGCACTATATAACAAAAGGCACTGAATAGAAATACTGTCCAACAATGCAAATCATACAACTTGACCTTCCATTTACTGTCTGATGAATGACCCGTTCACAATATCAATCATGGTTTTGATCTCGTTTTTGAGTCATTATTTGATCAAACTGTTAAAAATGAATAAATTTTACTCAACATAGTAAATAGATAGATAGATAGATAGATAAACAAAAGCTGCAAAAATAAACATGGCTCATAATGAGTTCATGAGGCATATTATTGTTTAAACTGTTTGTCGCTGCTTAATCTATACTGTTTCACATGCTATTTTTGCTACATAGCCAGTATCTCTCTCTCTCTCTCTCTCTCTCTCTGTTGTTTCTCGTTGCGGTGGACTCTAGGCAGTTGCTATAGTTGCACTTCAGATGTAAAAGTTTGAATGGATGTGAGTGAATGTGTTCATAGTGAACACTGAGGGCAGGTTCAGCTTGGAATGCTGGACTGCTGAGTTGCTCTAATGCTTATTGTTTAGGTGATTTGATGCTTGAATGAATCATTTTGCTGCATTTTTATAGTTTTTGTGAGGATGTTAAACTTTAACTTTTTCCCTTGGGTAGCTGATGTTATTTTGCTCGGTGAAAAAGTAATTTTACTTTCACACTTATAAAGTGAAATAATATATGATGGTTTCCATCACGAAACTCGTAACACTTCTAATTGGATCGTATCTTTTCAGACTTTGATTGATTTTTCATGTCTCTTTCTTTATAACAGGAACTTCTGTGCCTACGTTGTCCAGAAGAACGTCACCTGTGTAATGCAAGATGGAGTGGCCACATATGTCAAACCGGAGTACACTACCAAGTGCATATGGGGACAGAAATGTCCTGTGCTCATGTAAGTCAAGCATTATGATTCTTGAATAGAATAACATGGAGGGGTTTTAGGTTACAACTAAATTTAGTTCCAAATGTGGAATTTATATTTTTCAAAATAGCAGGAGATGGTCTCAAATATTTCAGACTTATTTTATATATAAATATTAAAAAAAACAGCGAATGATATATGTTAGAAGCTATTTTGTTATTGATACCATTTGCAGTGTTATTTGGTGTTTGAGCAGTCAAGAACTTTTGTGTACTTTGAGTACTGTTAATATTATATTAATATTATATATTATGTGGCATTTGTATGTAAATGTGTGAGATACTCAAACTCCATCTCCATCTGAAATACGGAAGCATGTGTTTTTAAACTGTATAATAGGCTGCATCATTACTGTCATGCCTGAACATCAGTGAATAAAACTCCTGAAGCTTATCTCCTCACTGAGTTAATTCTAACTGATGTACACAGGGCGAATGGATGGCGAAGTGTGAAGTTCTGTGACATTCAGTGTGTTTTTCCCTGCAGGTATCGGACACTCTTTAAACCACAGTACAAAATCGGTTATAAAACCATCACTGAACTGGAGTGGCGTTGCTGCCCAGGTTACTCTGGAGAGAACTGCGGTGATGGGACGACCTCCAACCCGGATGCGATGATGCCACCCTTCAAAGGCTCTTTCCCTCTGCCCGGGGTGAAGGGTTACCCCAGGGGTCATCCCAATATCCCTGTATCAAGGCTGGAGCCTGGTAAACCATTCCCCTTTCCTGGAGGTCACCCTGACAACAAGCCCATCCCTAGTGGATACCTGCCACCAGAGACTCCTAAAACAACTTATGGTAAGTGCAAATTACACAGCTCACACTCCCAATGTGCCACCATTAGCAATTTGACTATGAACACTGCAATTAATATTCAAATTTGGGTTAAGTATGGTTGTAAAAAAAAACAAACAGATTATGATAAAGTAATGATGATGATGGTGATTATTATTATTTTTTATAATCTACTCCAGGGGTTTCCCAAACTTTTTAAGGGTTACCCCAGGGGTCATCCCAATATCCCTGTATCAAGGCTGGAGCCTGGTAAACCATTCCCCTTTCCTGGAGGTCACCCTGACACCAAGCCCATCCCTAGTGGATACCTGCCACCAGAGACTCCTAAAACAACTTATGGTAAGTGCAAATTACACAGCTCACACTCCCAATGTGCCACCATTAGCAATTTGACTATGAACACTGCAATTAATATTCAAATTTGGGTTAAGTATGGTTGTAAAAAAAAAAAACAGATTATGATAAAGTAATGATGATGATGGTGATTATTATTATTTTTTATAATCTACTCCAGGGGTTTCCCAAACTTTTTTTTTTTGTCAGCCAAACCTCAAATATTTTCTTGAAATACCCTATGATAAATATATAAATAAATATATTTGTTGCTGAGTCTACATTACATTCACACTGGTGTTTTAGAAACACAATCAAACTGAATAATAATAATAATAATAGTAGTAGTAGTAGTAGTAGTAATGTTATTATTATTTTGCTTTAATTATGAAATTTAAGAGAGAAACCCTGGAGCACAAAACCAGTCATAAGGGTCAATTTTTCGAAATTGAGTTTTATACATCACCTGAAAGCTGAATAAATAATATTTCCATTGATTTATGGTTTGTTAGAATAGGATAATATTTAGCCGAGATACAACTATTTGAAAATCTGGAATCTGAGGGTGCAAAAAATTAAATAAAATATTGAGAAAATCATCTTTGAAGTTGTCCAAATTAAGTTCTTAGCTATGCATATTACTAATCAAAAATTAAGTTTTGATATATGTACAGTAGGAAATTTACAAAATATCTTCATGGAACATGATCTTTACTTAATATCCTAATGATTTTTGGCAAAAAAGAGAAATCAATAATTTTGACCCATACAATGTATTGTTGGCTATTGCTACAAATATCCCCCAGCGACTCAACACTGCTTTTGTGCTCCAGGGTCAAATATTATAGTTGTAAATTACAACTGTACTGTAAAATAAATATATCTGAATATATATTTAATTTAGAATAAATTTAAATATGTAAAATATATAAATGTAGTTAAATACATACATTTAAAATAAATATTTGATAATAATTATAATAATATTATTTAACACTATAAGTTGCAATAATAGTATTTATATCATAAATTCGTCACTTTCAATAATCAAACTCTCAAGCTTTAAACATTTTAACTCCTCACAACAAATGCTGTAAACTTCTGTGAACAAAAACCTTGGAAATTATATGAAGGTGCAAATCCTAGAGCATGTTGCATTCCCAAATGCATGTTAAACTCACAGCACAGTTTGCCACATTTACTGTGTATCATTTACTGCTGTTATCGTGCAGCCTAATTTATTTATTTAAATTGTATAATGTATATAATTAGCTTTTCACAAACCCCTGCAGATGGGAAGCCCTGATCTACACCTTTCTAATTTCCTAAATGTAGTTTGTAAAGTTGTAAAAGTTATCTTTTACTCACTTCTAAGGTCCAAAAGCGGGAGTCTCTGGTGAACGTTTAGACCGCATTGAAGAAAACCTTCGTAAACTCTCTCAAGATCTGGACACCTTGAATGGCTTGGTGACTGGCATGGAGGAACGTCTGCGAGTCTCTCTTCGGGAGGACACTAAGAAGATGCTGACCATCTTGCTCGGTGGTTCCCCACGGCTGCTGGATACCTCTGTGGGCTTCGGGCTGATCCCAGAGGGCACGCCGCATGGCTTAGACGGTGAAGAGAACCTCCCTGGTTTTGGAGAGTTGGTGGGAAGGGTGATGGAGGTCAAAGATGAGCTGAGAGCCAAGAGCGACATACTGGACGAGATCCGTGGGATGGTGATGGGACACGACGGCCAGCTAAAGAAGCTGATAGACACTGCCACAGGGAGGCTCATCCCTGGAGATCAGCGGCATCTAGAGGAACTTCTGGACTCCAGATTGACCGGCATGAGGGCGGAGGTCCTCGATGGTTTTGAGAGGAGACTGACGGGTTTGGAGAGCCACTGTGATGAGGGAATCGGTCAGGTGTGTTGATCACTGAACTTTGCGCTAGGAACTAGTTGGACACTTGTGCATGATGGCGTTTTTTTTTATTTGTTCTAAAGTTTTTTAGAACAAATAAAGTCAGCATGAACCGGAAATTGCGACTGACTTTTCTTTCCTATTTTGATATTTATACAAGCTTCAAGATCTTGATTTAAGATTTAAAATCTCTAATTAAACTAAATTAAACTAAATCTCTAATAAAGCTCTAAATAACAGCATACTGTATAAGGCATTTACATTGACATTTTATTTGAAAATGGCATGAATTCAAAAGGGCACAGTCAAAATTCAGTTTTTGAAATACATCAATATGTCACATTGCAGCATACAGTAGATATGCACAAGCAGGGAAAACTGAGTGAACACTAAATTAATAATTACGACAATTTAGAATCTTAAGATTGATACACTTGCTCACACACCTTTTAGGTTTGATGTTATAACTTGATTATCATGATATTGTGAACATTCAGCACATTAACTACCTCACCTTTGTGATGAAGACAGCTCGCAAATATTAATTGTTAATTAATATTATTTAACATTAACTGGACTCTCCCGTAGGTCAGCAAACATATCAATATTCAAGCATGCATTCATTTTTGCATCATGTTGCACAGTAGCAACCTACTCCCCAGCATGGGAAATCTGTTGAAGTTTAACTCACTTCAGAACATTTATTCATGGATTTGCGCTACGCCACGGCCTGCAGCATCTTCACACACAGACCAAACTCACTAGAGAAGTGTGACATAATATACCTCTGTAAATAAATACAATTTAAATTCACGTCTTGCACACTTTAATGCCCTTACACTCCCTTCGAACTGGAATCATGGAGGAACATCCAATGATGTTGACTTTGCAGGGCACTTAGTTAAATAGAACAAACGTCTGAAGTGATAAGAGAAAAATATCAAATGTGCAGAGCGCGGGATCGTGAGGACTGGAATCGAGAACCACTGTGCTACGTAGATGATAAGAGTGATATTTGAAACATCAGTAGGGTGCAGCAGGGATGTAGGAGAGCTGAGATAAGGATCCTTTTAGCAGCAGTTCAATCAAATAAAATGAGAACATCCACAAAGGCACAGGATCGACCCAGCCAACATGTATATGTGGGCCCCACATGGTTTATGCTGGGTCTACATGGGTACCAAGTGGGCATGGTCCCAAAATGGGCATCTTATCTGGGGCCCACTTGGGTCAGCAAAGTAGGTCCCACATTGGCAAAAACAGATGGGCTCCCTATGTGGGTCCTAGTTGGGTCACAAATGGGAAATGAGTGCATGGGCTCTAAATGGGCAACACAAATGGGGCCCATATGGGTTTAACAAATGGGTTAGACATGGGCAAATACAATTAATCCCATATAGGCTGCCTACACAGATGCATCGCATCCAGTGTAGACAGAGTCACTGATTATAATGGGTTCTATTGCATTTAGTCGCGCCGTGCTGCGCTGCTCGCGATTGGCGTCGACATGGTGTAAACATCCATTTGTTTTAAAAAGCATCATTTTGGGCCCACTTTTTCAGCCCATGTCAAACCCACATGGGCCCCACACACAAATGTTGGCTGGGGAGAAACAAAAGGCAGCTTAACAGCATGCTAAACTAAGACAAACACCATAACATCAAGCTACAAACACAAGGTACACAGGTAAATGAGGAACTAAACAAGAGACAATTGAGGAACCTAATTAGTAACCAGAGGAAAAACTGAAAACATACTGGCTGCAGTTGAGGAAGCTTAAGCTTTCTACAAACTGTGAGATTTCAGCAATCTTATAAGTAAAGTGATGTGTGGCCAAGTATGGTGACCCATACTCAGAATTTGTGCTCTGCATTTAATCCATCCAAGTGCACACACACCATGAACACACACTTGGAGCAGTGGGCAGCCATATTGCTGTAGCATCTGAGGAGCAGTTGGGGTTCTTGCTTAAGGGTCTCACCTCAGTTGTGGTATTGAGGGTGGAAGAGAGTGCTCTCTTCCACCCTCAATATTTGGAGGGAGTTATTCACTCCACCCACCGGCAATCCCTGCCGGAACTGAGACTCAAACCCACAACCTTTGGGTTACAAGTCCAACTCTCTAACCATTAGGCCATGACTGCCCTCTACATAAGAGCATTATAAGATTATAAGATCATTACAAATCACATGGTGCGACATGGATCTAATAAACTTGGGTACGACATGTATGCAGACTGTACGATGATGACACTTAGTGACTCGTAGGCTACGATGCACGTTACTATTGAAGAATAAAACGCCATCAGCATGCGATAGTCATAAACAAAAAGAGCATGACGAATCACACTTTGGCAGTTGTACTTTTTATGTGTGCTGACAAAAAGAGGAGTTTGAGGTAAGCAGTTTTAAGATTTAGCACCTTGTTGTGATGATCATGATTTCATGTTGCATTTTCATTGGCTGGTCAGTAGACGTAGGTTGTAGCAGGAGACACACTGTGCGATGATCATGCTGAATTTCTGACACTGTCCGAAAATTATCAAAGGCTATCTTTGTTTGACCATCTTTGAACCTCTTTCACTGTACAACATAGGACCATCGATTAGGAGCCACGCTCACAGAAATCGCCACGATTGTAAGATAGCAATCTTTCATCTAGGACAGCCGAAAATCGTGAATTGTGTCTCAGACTTGTTTTCCTGCTGGCCTTTCAGGCAATGACTTTGCAGGCAACATTTGTGCACTGTTCCTCCTAGGAACATATGTTCCTCCCAAAACTGATTTCGAGGCAGCATGATATAGTTTAATGATCTATGACAAAATAGAGAGAGCTAAGTGAATATTTAATTACTACAGTACTAATTTCTCACTAGAAATGATATCAAAAAGTGGAACATTTTAGTAAAAAATATGAACATTTGCAAACTGTCACATGTTTGTTTCGATGCCCCTATTTGGTCTTCCTGTTCCTGCTCCCTGATTGTTTATTATTTGTCCCAGGTGTTTCCCATGTTCATTGTTGCATTAGTTCCAGGTGTTCCTCGTCTTCCCCTCGCGTCCTGTGTATTTATAGTGAGTCTAATTCCTAGTTTCTTTGTCTGCTGTTAAACATCTGTTCCCCCTGCTACGTGTGCATCTTGCCTTGATGTCTGTTTATTTGGATGAATAAAGATGGATCTATGTTGAAGTACTCCGACGTCTCCTCGATTCCTGGTTCCAACATGGTAGCAGTAGCCGAAGCGTGACACCAACAAACTAACAACCAATTACAACTTTCAGACACAATCTTTATTTATTTTTTAGCTCAACTATCGCAAAATGGAATGCACAGAATTGTGGGATATTATGTGGGCTATTAAGGATTCATCCATATTGCCTTCCTACCTCCATATGCTGGTGCGGAGGCAGCATTTTTTAGCTTTCGGACACAGCCTCTTACCAGAGTAAGGTAACAGAGGAAACAGGAACTAAATACAGGAAATGAACTCAGGAGAAGAAGAAAGAAACAACGGAACAGAATAAACTTTAAAACATAAGTCCTAGGGCAGAACTAAACTGTGACAAGGACAGTTTTGTAGGTTAAACCGGTTGTAAAAAGTGGTTAATACTGAGAATTCCAGAGAAATATTTGATGTTTGTCATATTATTTATTTCTGTACCACAGCATATTTATCACTGAAGGATATATTCCATATGTATTTGATCCATATTGCAAAGATTTTTTCTTTTTATACCTAAATCTTCTTAGTGTCATAGCATTATTTTGTATGCTAATCTAAAAACAAGCACCTGATTGACTTACACTTCCTGATAACTCTGTAGCAAATGCTTATCTTCAGGTTTAATATTCATCACTACTTTGTGTATTGTGTATGTACTAATGCTAATGTAGACAAACACACTTTTTATATTTGACGAGACCATTTTGTGTAGTGTTTTGGCCAGAGAGAGACATAGGATGTTCCTGAGCTGCTCAATAACACCAACCGCTATTATTACAAGGCCACTCTAAAACAGCAGCAGAGCAAACAGGACAAGTGTATGACAGATTGGTGTGTAAATATTTTTTTGAGAATAGTCTGCATTTCTTTATGCATTTTTTTGTGTGTGTGTGTTTTGTGGAAAGTGTGCATATGTGTGGGATAAGAGGACAAAGAACAAATATGAGGACACTTCTGATATTAAAAGCTCTCATACATTGATTTGATCTCATCCGAAGCTACTTGCATGACTGATCTCATCATATCTTATTGCTTTGAGGCAGATTGACAAAATACATCTTTAAATCTCTATTCATCCATTTACAAGCAGTCATCATAACCTAATTCCCAACCATTTCTATTATATTATACTGTACTATGTATTTAGTTATGGAATGTAAACTACAAAAAAATAAAGAAATATAAAAAAATAACAAAACCTAATGAAAGGTGTTCCTTAATTTTGTTCATTTGAAATATAGATTTCCTTGCATTTCCCCCCCTTTTACCTCTCTTGAGTTGATTGCGTTCTCGGCCATGCAGATTTCTTGTCCCATGTGTGTATGGAATACAGGAATAAAGCTGTCCTTATGTAATGGAAGGTGAGGGGCTAAACGCTGTGTGTTCTATCACACTAATTCATTCATTTATTCATCTATAAGTCATACACTAAACAGTTAGCACACAGTGTATAGAACATCATTTTGGATGCCACTGTTTTTTTGTTTTTGTTTTTTAGGGTGAATTTGGGTAAAGTGGGCTGTTTGATTGTAATGTGCTTAATTGGTTTAAAATTTAGAGCATAACAATGGTCTTTATTTAAAAGTACAATATTTCTTTAAATGATAAAACAGTTTTGGCTGATGCAACATGACCCTGGTGATTGTGACTACACCGCAAAGGAGAACTCATCATCATGAAAGGAACAGTAATAAACCCTTTTGACGTTCAGATTTCCATTATAATTGACTTTTTAGAAAACAGTAACGAGTCAGGAAATGCTTGTCAGAGATGAAAGAAA